ACAGTGGTCAGAGCACAGCAGCCCCGGCAGTCCCTGGGGAATGGGGCTCTGCAGGGATGTGGCTTTAGCAGGATAATCACTACCCTCACCCCACCAGCTCCTTTCTGCTGGCATTGGAGACCTCTCCCATTTCAAAAAGGGGAATTTGCTTTCTTTTGGTTAATGCTTTGGCTCTGACTCACGACAAGGTTGGCTGAATGGCTAGTGGGGGAGCCTGGCTTTCCCACCTGGCAGCCTTGAGTCCCCAGGTTGACCCTATCTGGAGACCATGGTGCCTGCATTGGCATAAAATGCCATGCATGTAGATCGGTCTGGCTAGTTCGGAGTTGAGGATCCTGAGAGCACAACCACAGAACTGGGCTCAGGGCCTGCTGGTAGCAATGCAGCTCTGTGGAAAGCCTGTGGTCCGCTTTGTGTGCTGCCAATTTCATGCAATAAGAATGAAACAAATTGAAAGAAATGCATGGCCACGGTCACAAAGCTTCACAGCTCAAGTTACTGAAAGGAAGCTTAGCCCATGCTGAGCCGTGACGGTTCAGGGCAGCACGAACAGGAGCACTCCGCTGCTGGAGAGCTTCAGAGCAGCACACGGCCCTGTCCGACATCCCCATCACACAGCCTGCCACGCCAGCGAGAAGGTTTTAAGATCCTGGTTGAGTCGCAACCTGGCAAAGCTGCTCTGTAGGAACCTGAGCCTCAACACATGGCACCAAGATGGGGGGGTGAAGCCTTTCTCTGTATCGCCAGACTGATCTTCGGGTGAGCAGCCGAGGAGGGGCTGTTCACACTGCCCACACACAGTTGTACTGTCTTGTGACAGACACAGGGGGATGCCCAACTAGCGTAGTGGTGCCTGGCAAAGCCAGACTGCTGGGGCTTGTAGGAGGAGTCAGTTTAATTTACTACGCTGCTGGAAAAATAACTTGCCCATGAATTAATAGTTGTACCTCTGATCTGCCAGCTGAACCAACTGAGACTTCATCTGCAGGAGTGCTGGACATGCCTGGGAACGGCTCAGGAGGCTGGGACCGTGCCAAGGGGCCTTCTCCCAAGAGCTAGCATCAGATCCATCCCCTAAGGGTGTGGGATTGCATTTAGTGGCAGCACTTTATAAGCTACCTAATACAAATTCAATTCCCTGACCACTTGTTCCTGTCTGCTAACACTGCTGCTGTGTGTCGGCCCAGCTGAATTTGGAGTCCTGAGGGAGACTGACTTGACCAGTTGATCCAGCTGGAAAACTTTTCTGGGAGAGTGGTTTTTTTTTCCCCAGAGAGCTTAATGTGCAGATCTGGTTTTCACAAAGCAATGAAAATGAAAAAGAAATAAAAATAAATGAGACATAAAAATAAATTGGAATGAAAGAAATCCATACCAGAACAAGAAAGAGGATGTTAAACGAATGGAAATAAGTCGGGGAGGGGATTTGCAATGGCTGGGAAGAGGAAAAGGGGACTCTCAAACATCCATGATGCCAAAGAATCACTCAGAGATAGAGAGCTTCAGGTGGCAAGAGGTGAATACCCTCCTGGCTGCAAAGGATTTGTGTTTCACCTGCACACAGTTACATACCCTCTGGTATCTCTCTAGCTCTCAAGGATGTGCTTGAAAATAAAGCAGGCAGCCGCATGCCCTAAGCTCAGGGACAGGGGCACACCCTCAGGCAGGACTTGCCGTAAGCACGGCTGGGCAATGCTGACGGGACCGAGGCCTGGCCTTGCGCCCCCGGCAAATTCACAGCTCCCTGCTGGCCCCCGCCTCCTGGGCTCTGAGGTCCCACCAAATCGCCCATCAGCCTTCACAAGAGTCATTCCCAGAGGAGGAGGCCTCTCGTGGCCGCAGAGAGCTTTGGAGGTTGCCCATGCCAGGAGGATCAGCCCGTCATTCGTCTCCCTTCATCCTCGGTGTCAAAAGCTCAAAATAGCCCCGCTCTTGCAAGACTCCTGCGCGGGGTCATGCCTGGTTGTGTAGATGATACGCTTCCACTAATAGCGCTCGAAGACATTCCTCAGCGGGTAGGTTGCCTTCTATATCTCGGCGCAACGTGCTGCCACGTAGGAGCTGGACAACTGTGTTGTGTCCTAAGACGGCAGATGCTATTCTTACCCCAGAGAGACTTGCTCCGGCACAGCTCCTTTCTCAGCTGAAATGTTAAAAATCAGAAGCAGGCCCGAGCGTGCTCTCCCTGGTAGGAGTATTAATCAAGGGTGGCCCCTTTGAAGCCCGTGCAATGACGCTGTGCCAACCCAGTGCCTGGGCGCTCGCCATGCCCTCCTGGGATGTGCTGTCCCATGGGGAACACAGCAGCTGCCCAGGTACTTCCAGCGGTCAGTCGGGCCTTAGTTTGGGGTGGATGGGGGTGTCACTTCTCTTGTAAGCCAACAAATGAAAGCAATGCCTGTGGACCTGAAAGCCCATTTTTTGGAGATCAGCAAGAGGCCCCAATCCATTAATCCCTTCCCTGGTGAGGAAGGCAGAGGCAGGGCTTGCTCCAAGCTTGCTCCAGAACCAGCAGCATTACAGAAAGCCATGTCCTCTCTCTCAGTCAAGTGGAGCAGGAGCAGCCCATGAACGTGTTCAGATCAAATACAGAGCTGGGGCCGCAGTGCATTAAGTGTGATGTGAGCAGCTGAACTCGCCTTCATGCGACTCTTGTTGCAGAAAAAATGAATAAGCTGGTAAGTGAGAGAGGGTGGAAGTAAGAGTAACCATAGTGCTGAGGTAGGGTTGAAACTGTGCTGGGGAGTGCAGGGAGGAGTCTGGGAGGAGGAAAGTGAGATGGATGTGTGTGAGGAAAAGGGATAAGTGATAAGGTGGCAGAAGATGTGGGGGTGGAGGAAATGACAACTCGGCATCAGGTCTGGGGAAGAAAGGTCAGGAGAAATCTGAGGGGAAACTGCTGGGAAACACTACAGTGATAATCTCCAAATGACAATCTAACTCATAGCCCACCTCGAGAGAGCTTCGTAAAGCTTAATTTTAGTTTTGAAGAAATAATTTACTGTATTTAAGCTGTAAAGTGGTATGTTGTTTCATTACTATTGCTCATGGCACATGGCTTATCATTCATACCCGCGCACCATGCTGTGGGGCGCTGGCTGCGCTGCAGAGAAGAAAGCATCCATAGGCAGCATTTCCCAAACCCAGGAGCACAAGCTGTATTGGGAGGAGGCAGTGTAAAGCCATACCTTCCCAGAGGGTTGAAGACTTCAGGGACTGCTGGCAGTCCCCAGCTGGAGTCTGGAAGCCCCCAAACATGGCCAGACCTCAGCTGCCCCAGCCTGCTCCCCAGGCAGGGAAGGCAGCCTGCGTTGGGGTCCACCGGCCCCAGGAGCTGCTGGTCTCTTTGTCAGGGGGTAAGTGGAGGGGGACGGTGCAGAGTGGCCCAGGTTTTGAGCTGCTGCTGTGGCCCACCCCACAGGGACCTAGCTTGTCACTCTGTGTGAGCCCAGCCTGTGGCTACCACCCATGCATATGTTTTTTGAAGAATCTTCCAAGAAAAAAACCCAACCAACTGAGAAGTGGAGGAGGAGATGGGAGCAGAAGCTAAGCATCTCTGGGTGGTGCTAGCTGCTCCTGCCTGTCCTGAGCGGAGGGGGTAGATACATAATGGGGAAAGGAACGAATTAGCAGTTCTGAGCCGAGGGAAGATGCATGCAGGAGGACCAGAGGCTGCGAAAAAATCCCCACTGACAGCCACTGCTACAAAGCCTGCTGGATTATCGGGATCAAAGTGGGACGCTGATGTGAGGAAGATGAATTACTCACTGCTTTATGGAGAATGAGGGTCATTTTGCATTGACACTCTATCTGTGGAGTGAGGCTGCCTGTCACCTGATAAGGGCTTATGCAAAGGCCTTGAGAAAAACATCAGGCCATAGTGGCCATAAATGAACATCTCTGAGAGAAAGTTTAAAATAGATGCAGCTGATGGGCTCATATAGAGCTGCTGTCCCATATGGATGTCCAGGGATCTCCTGAGCTCAAATGCAGCATTCCAGTAATAGTAGAGCAAATGGTTGAAAATATTCCCCTTCAGAAACTCTTTGTCAGTAAAGTCAAATTCAGCAGTTCACACTGTAAGCTCCTGTCAGGAGCCCCAGGAGAGGAGGAATCATCTGAGCCTTGCTGTTAGGGCCTCACGACTGTGGTCTTATAGGCCCTGCTCCCCCCACCCCCTTGCCAGCAGCACAGCCCCAGTGTCAACGCGGTACTGTTGGGAAAAATGCAGTTCAGCACACATGAAGGCTTTGGGATCAGAGCCCAGAGAGGTAAAGTCCAAGCTTAGCTAACGTAAGAGGCAGACAGCAGTGTGGGATCATGGGATGAGTCTGCTGTGAGACCCTACGAGGTACCCTGCAAGACAGTGTCCACCTGGAGGCACCTCTCAGGGAGCAGCAGGCACTTTGAGGGACCTGAGGGACTGATTTGGAAGGAAGGCAGCGTACTCCTGTGTTGTTCAGCAAAGCAGTGATGGAGTGAAGTTGGCATTGTGTCTTGAGTTGCAGCAGATTTAACATATATTTCCTCAGGCCGCAGTCCTGATTGAGATGTAAACCACCCTGGCTGCTGGCTTTCTGCTGGCATGTCGCTGTCATTGCCTCCTGCTGGAGCTGTTCTGCTTTACACAACTGATTTGCCCTTCAGGGGGAGCAGGGGCTTGTATCCTTCCCTGGGCGTCTCAGATGGATGCAGAGAGCAATTAAAGAAATGTTTAGGCTGACCACCAAGGAAATCTATCTGCCAATGTAAAATAACAAGGCTGTTGACAAGTTTCCTGAGGATGCAAAAGGAAATTTTCTGCAACATAAAAAGTTAGTTCAGAAAATGTCACTAGAAAATTCTGCTACGTATCCTGTTGGTAACTTCACTGCAGTGACTCCGGCACTCAGAAAATCCTATGGTAATCCAGTGGGCTGTCTTAACCTTGAAAAGTCTAATGCTTAAAGTGAACAGGTTTATACAAATTCCATACCAGTATATTTCCATTTACAGCACTGAAATCTGCCCAGAAGTGGGATTTGTGCATCTGTCACAGATGAGTGTCAGGCTAGGAAGATATCACCTCATTGCTCTCTTTTTTAGGATACAGTTGTTGCTAGTGCTAATATTATGCACCTAATCCTGATTTTCCTTCCCCCCCTTCCCTCCCCCTTTTGCCACTTGCTTTCTTTTTTCTTTGTCTTACCCGGAGGCGTCTTAGCCTGCCCACCCCACTCCCCTGCTCTGTAACAGAAGCTCCTCAGCTGCTTTGGTGGGTGACAGAAAGGGCATCCTGAATGTCACCTCCTCGGCCAGCTCTTCCGCTGATGTTTGCTGGGAACATGAAGAGTCTGAGTAACGGCACGACTCTGATAGTGAAGAGCTGCTCACCCCCAAATAAAAGTTTGCTGCTTTACCCGTCTCTCCGCTGCTCTGTTAGCTGGGCTGTGCCACTCTTGAGTCTCACTTTCTGTCATTTTGCTGAAAGCCACTAAGAAAGATGTCATCCTTGTAAGGCAGACTGTAGAATCACCAGTTGTAAAAACCCTTTGTGCAGAAGAAACAGAACGTCAACTTCTCTGTCCATACGATGACTCTGAGCCATACATAGACCAACCCTATAGAAATTCAGTCTCTGAAAGGAGGACCAGGATTAGGAGGTAGGAAGGCTACCAGAATAGTGAACAGGTGCCTCCAAACGTCAAGTCAGTGCTCACTGGTGGCCACAAAAGGCAATCAGAGTATCAGGAATTATCAGGATCAACTGAGAACAAAACAGAAATCATTGTACCAGGCCCACAAACCACCTGCTATCTGCAGTTTTGGCCTGTGTAATTAGGAAGGGTATGGAGAAAGATGACAAAATTGATGGGAGCACTGGAGAGACAAGCTGTCCGGACTATGATCTTTCACTTTGGGAAAGAAAAAAACAGGCGGGAAGATGATATGCTTACATAATATTATAAATAGTATGGAAAAAGTGAAATTGGATTTTCACAAAGCATCCAACGTACAATCATGCAACAAATACCAGCTGGACCTTTGCTCTAGACTGATATGGCTGTCTGCTTGTTCTCAAATTTATGAGATTATTCCGCATGATGCTTTTTTTCTGCTTTGGCTTTCTCACAGCTGAGCAAGCCTTACAGATTCTCATTGTTTTCAGCCAGGAGATGGATGCACAGCTGCTGTTTCATATCCTCTCAAATGGGCTGAGGTTAAGTTTTGTATAGCAGCTGGAAAAGCAAATTATTTGGGAGTAAAATTCTCTGAAGACCTGGGGGAAGGGAAGGAAGGGAGTAAAACAAAACCCTACTGTTTAAGAAAAGCCTGCTGTAGTCAGCAGTGTTCAGAAGCAGGGGACAATAATCACATAATGATCACAGCAAAATGGCTTTGCCTATGCCAGAGCTCTGCAAGGTCAGATTACTGCTGTGGGAAGGCATACTGGAGCAGTGGGTAGTGCTAAATAGCTGCTCCCAGAAACCACAGCGACAGCTTTTCCCCATCTATCCCACCAGCCGCAAGCCTGGAAAGTCGGCGATCCTCCTACACTTACCTGCTCAAGCTCAGCCACTTCCACCTCCCTCTGCAGGAACAGGCTGGTCCCAATGCCTGGCACAGAAATTGCTAAAAAAACCCTTTCCTCAAGTGGTGTTTATCAGATAACAGGTAGTCATGCAAGGGAGAAAATAGCTTGAAACAGCACCAGACTGTCTTTAACTAGGAAGCATCCTAGTGCCATAGCACCTATTTGAGGGAGTTTTGTCGAACAAAAGAAAAGAAAGCAAAACTGGTGTTTGTTCTGAATGGGTTTGCTGTGCAATCAGTTTCTTTTGTACTAGTGACTAGGCAGGATGTTCTTCCTCTGGAGATTTTGAGGGAATATATGCTAATTCCTCTGAAAATAAGTAACAGATGCAGCAGATGGACAGAAATCTTTGACTTTCTCAGCACCAGGTCATATTTGGTCATTATAAATGAGAGGAACTTAACTTCAGAAGCATGTCCAAGCAAAGCTGCTTGTCACCAAGTCTGTCACCTGTGTGACATAGTGTTTAGAGGCAGTTGGTAACACATCAAACATTGATGTGTATATAAACACTGAACAGATGTATATAAATTCTATGTTATGGAATATTTAGTGTTTTATGAGGTCTGGAAACCAGTCACCCAGCAAGCTGATTAGGTTGAAGCAGGGCAGAGTAATCACCAGTAATTACCTACCACATGCAAGATTGACTTCATTTCACCTTAGCTCTGATGTGTGCTCAGAGGAGCAGCACATCCATGCAGACATTCCTGGTCCCTACCGTGGCCCTGGGCACCTCCCAGTTCCTGGTCAGGATATCAAGGACCCCGATCACCTGAGGAGGAGCAGCTGAAGTGACCACGCACAGGAGATGCTGCTATCTGAGTAGGCACCTGAGCCTGCTCTCCAGGCCATCGACTCACAGGAGGAGGTTTCCTACCAGAGCAGAAGCTGAGCAGCTCTGAGCTCTCTCCAGCCTCCGAGGGCTCACTAGGAGAGTGTGCAAGGGAATCCCTGTTAAAGGGGATGTCTGCTGTATCCCATGAACATTACAGGCTCCATGCGGGGGGACATGTAGGTCACTGAGACCTGAGAAGGCCAAAGGCTTCTTAGGCTTCATATACAGATAGTAGGAACGTGCTTGTGCTTCTGTCTCCCATTATTGGCAGTGACACAGAAAATACATTGCTGTTTTCAGTATGGTTTCCCATGTGTGTCTTATTTGGTTTTGCTCCAGTCACATGACATTTTTCACCAACTTGATGTGGTTTGTGCTCTAAGAAGGCTTCACCACGTGGGTGGGACATTGTGTGGGGTGGGTATCTGGGGAGATTGGGATGATGAGAAATGTCTCAGGTGTGAGGGTCTACATGTTCCTTTGATCTCACCCAGTACAACCATTCACAGAATCACAGAATGGTTTGGGTTGGAAGGGATCTTTAAAGATCATTTAATCCATTGGCAGGGACATGGTGTAACCTCATTTCCTTCAATGTTATGTTATGGTCAGAAATAACACACAGTGGTGATGTTAGCTGCTGTTCACTATATCTTACACATATTTTCTGACAAATGGTACCTAGTGACTCAGAATGAAAAAGGTTTGTACCAGATCCCTAAATTCCTGTAATGGGGCTGGGGAAATGCTTACCAGCATACAATTACCACCATGAATGTGTCCAGTCTGTGATGACAAGAGGACCTTCCTGTACTCTGCCTGCCCTGCTGCTCCTCACCTGGTGGAACTTATTTCTGATGTGATGTGATGCACTTTGCTGCCCTGGTGAGCTCCATGGTTCTCTGACTCTGCCTGCATGTCACTCTGTTCTTCAAGAACTGAAAACTACCGAAGCCTACTGCTGCTGAGGATGCTTCCAGATGACATACTTGAGAAGCGGTATTCTGGAATTGGTGTTCTGGAGGGATATGCTTTGACAAATTGCATGGAATTAACTGTCTCCAACAATGCAGTGAGATCAAAGATTCATGCCCAGTGGTCCACTTGAGAAAAGCTGTTTTTCAGGACTCCAGGAAAATTTCTGTTTCTTATCACAAGACATGAAGCTGCAGACACCTTCTCTGCTTAGCTTTGAGCAATTGTCTGCTTTGGATGGATAGAGGGAACCTCTACATTAAAGCCGCAGAAATGCTGTTGCAAAGGAACATCTGGAGGTCTTTAGTTCAGTTTCCAACTTCAAGCAGATCTATTGCCGATGTTGGTCAGATCAGTCATGGCTTTGATTAGCCAAGCTTTTTGGACAGAGGCTCCACAACCTCTCTGGGTAGCCTGTGCCATTTCTGCATTACCCGATAGTCAAGAATTTTCCTAATGTTTAACTGGAGACTTTCAAGCAACAATTTGTGGTCAATGCCCCTTGTTACATTGTCTGCTACTATCTGTCATGAAAAAACCTTGGCACGTTATCTTTGTAACTGCCCCTCATGTACATTAGGCCTTTTTTCCTCAGACTAAACATGCCCTCAAACTCTCTTCAGAGCAAAAGTTTTCTAGACCCTTCCCATCTTGCTAGCCTTCTGCTGGGCCCTCTCCCATTAGTTCACATCCCTTTTGAACTGGGGAGCCCAGAACTGGACAAACTGTTTCAGATGAGGCCTCCCCAGTGTCAAGCAAAAGGGATAATAGCTTCCTACAATCAGCTGATCACATTTCTAACACCACTTGGTACTTGGTTCATCCTGTTTGCAGTGAGAACAGTCATATTCATATCCACCATAACCCCAAAGTCCTTCCTCCTGGAGGGCAGTCTGTTCTAGTTAGAGGAGCAGAGGGCCTGAGAGTAGTTCCCAGGGTGAAAGATTGGGGATCACCAGATTACAGTAGAAGACTCCTTTTCCTACTGCAAAACCTCCTGCCATATAGGTACATTCTCATGTTTCCAGTTCATGAGCTTGATGACCCTGAACACGCATGAGCGGGAGGTTCCCACTAGCCAACACACAGCAGTCTGTAGGCACTTCCACTTCCCCTCTCCAGTCTGGCTGTGTTGCCTAGCTAAAAAATGCCTTCTCACTCCTTGTCTCTCAGCTAACCACAGGGATCAGGAGAAGAAAACACACATCTTAAGGGCTGGCAGAAAGGGAGGCAGCTGCCTGACCTCTGTCTCAAGAAGGATCTATTTTCAGCATGACTGAATCCTTTCTCCTCCATGGGGAATGTGCGCCTTGCTGACACTGCATTGCTGTGCAGGACAGTCTGTATCCAGAGATAGCTTTCAGTCTGCCGCTTCTCTTTTAACTGTGCTGTGGTTTGCTTCTGGTCCCAGTGGAGTCCAGCCCTGCAGAGATGGAAATAGGATTGACAGAAAATTAATGGCTGGCAGGAGACATTGCATTCTTCTTTTTGCATTGAGGCACTTGCACTGGACAGATTTCTCCTTGGCTGCGTCTGGATACAAGAAACAGGGCAGAGTTTTCCCTGATGTAACTTACTGGGATCTACAGAGTTAAACTACAATGAAATCTGGGTCATGTACTTCGAATTAGAGACTGCTGCTTTGTAAGAACCTTTGTAAGAAGCCACTATGCCAGTGTCATATAAGTGATACCTGGGTGGGATAGATGAGCTTTAGAAATTAAAACAAATCCAAAGCAGATGCTCAGTAGCTTAGAGTCCTTTTCAGTCATGCTTATGCCAGCTGACCAAACACTTCACTTTTCGTGAGCTTTATGTTATATGCTAAAACACTGAACGCTGGGTTATTCTCCCAACCTTTTTTGCACTTTCTCCTGCCTCCTCTTCCAGCCTCCACAAACTTAGTCCAATTGTCAGGTGTTCTTCCCCTGTAGACATTCACTGAGAGTTCATATACTACCTGTGTTCACAACGCATGCTGTTACAGCTGCCATTACTTTAGCTCATAGTTTCCTTCACAAAGATATTTAAAAACATCTACTGAAAGCACTGAATGAGAAGTTCTTGTTTTCCATGTTTTTAGTGAATGAAAAAGGGGAAAAAAGGAAATGGATCCAAATTTAGAGTTTTCAAGTGAAAGTAGTCAATGTTTTAACATTTTATCTTCTTGTTCTGACTGTCTGAAAGAGTTTTTTTAATGCTGGTTCTTCCAGAGGAGTTGCTAGAATAGCCTTGATATTCAGTTTGAGTGGCACTGGACTGTTTAATGCTGAATTCAGTCAGGTCCCTTCACCCCTGCTGGTTTAAGCCACCAGGATTATTTTTGTATTACAGTACAGCTGACAGAAAAGTAAGCAGACACGCTTGGTGTCATCTATAAATGCTGCTTCATGGTGGAGGTAGTATTATTTAATGTAAAGTATATAAGTTAGCTGAACTCGGCATGCAATTTATTCTTAGCATGAGGGCCACATCTCTATATACAACATTCTGGAGAATTCTGTTAGATTTCAGTAATCCTTCAGACTCTTGAATGATTAATGCCAAGCACCTTTCAGGGATTTCACTCCAAGATACAAAGCAAAGCCCCCATACCCATAGTCACATTATGCTAACTTTGGGGGTTATACTGGTACTGAGGTACTAATACAGAGCTATTAGTGTAGACATAGGTCAATACTCCTAATCGGCACAGAAATTCAAATTAGGGATCCACAGTAACAATAGTTTCTTCTTTGAACTTAAGCCAGCATATACATTCACACTGTGGATTTGCATATGCCCACAGAAACCTTCAGCCAAAGTAGGACCTCCTCCAACACTTGATGCAGGGTTAGGTGGGACAGTATGTCCTGCAGGCCCTCTACACCCTTGGCAATCAGGCAGCTTTCCCAGTCTTCCTTGTAGGATGTGACTGTCTGCAGTTTTCTGAGTTCTCTTGTGTAAATCCTCTATCATTCCTCTGTACACAAGGTTGCTTTCCCTCCTAAGGAGGTGACCACAAACATAGCATGTCTGGACTGTCAGAGCCCAAGGTCTGCAGTCTCAGACCAAGGAGAATAGATTGGCAGAAAGTTTCTTCCCTGTTGACTCTGGGGACAGGGATTCTGCTCTTTCCCATTTCAGTGGAATAGCTCTACAGCTGTCATTTCTTTGTGTCAAGGAATGTGGTGATTCTTTCTGGTGATAGGAAAGCTGCCAGATTCACACCTTCAAGATAATGATGCTAGTTCTTCTACTGAATGGAGTCATAAGCTCCTACCCCTCAACCTTCAGGATGCCTATTTCCACATGGCTGTTACGGCCCCATATTGAAACCAGCTTCAGTCAGAGTGGGCCAGAACCACTATTAGAATCGGATCCTACTGGCTGGTAGTCCTACCACCCAGATTCTCCACCAAGAATCAAGCAGAGACTAGCTTCAGTGAACTGGATAGTCCAATATTTGAGATAGTGAAGGCCAAGTCCCTGAAGTAGATGGCAAATGGTTTGGTATCTAAGCCAGCATATGCATTCTTGCCTCCGTGGACATTATATTGAACCTACAGGCATCTCACCCTGTTTGTATGAAAAGCATGGAGTTTACTGGGGAATGTAGAGGTGCCTGTGCACTTTAGTTGCTTCACTTTGATGTCACAAAGGGTCTTTAGCTGGAAGTCCACACATGATTTAGTAAACTCAATTAGCAATACTGGTAAACATGGCAGTAATACTTGAAGTCTTTGTGATTCTGCAATTGCTAGGGCCCATTTAACATAAAGTGTTTTCTATGTTAAGGATAGTGTGCAACTGGGTACTGGTTAGGCAAAACCCAGAGGTCAATACTGGGTCCAATAGTGCAAAGGAAGTGCAAAGTCCTGCACCTGGGGAGGAACAACCCCAGGCACCAGTATATGCTGGGTGCTGACCAGCTGGAAATCAGCTTTGCAAAAAAAGGACCTGGGGTCCTTGTGGACACCAAGTTGACCATGAGCCAGCAATGTGCCCTTGCCACAAAGAAGGTGAACAGTGTCCTGGGATGCATTAGAAGGAGTGTTGCCAGCAGGTCGAGGGAGGTGATCCTTCCCCTTGACTTGGCACTGGTGAGGCCACACCTGGAGTGCTGTGTCCAATTCTGGGCCCCCCAGTATAACGGAGATATAGAGCTACTGGAGAGACTCCAGTAAAAGGCCACTAAGATGACTGAGGGACTGGAGCATCTCTCCCATGAGGAAAGGCTGAGAGAGCCGGGACTGTTCAGCGTGGAGAAGAGAAGGCTCAGGGGGATCTCGTCAATGTGTATAAATACCTGAGGGGAGGGTGCATAGAGGACGAAGCCAGGCTCTTTTCAGTGGTGCCCAGTGACAGGACCAGAGGCAATGGGCACAAACTGAAACACAGGATGTTCCCTCTGAAAATTAGGAAACACTTTTTCCCTGTGAGGGTGACTGAGCACTGGCACAGGTTTCCCAGAGCCGTTGTGAAGTCTCCATCTTTGGAGATATTCAAAAGCTGTCTGGATAAAAGCCTCTCCTTCATTGCTATGCCCTGCTTCACAACCTTTTTCTGAGATTTGGACTACTTTCCAAAAAAACTTTAGGTTTCTAACACTGGCTTATGGGGACCTACTGACAGTAAGTTCAATCCCCAAAGCGCTGCTGAGTGACTGTCCACACCTGGAGACACCACAACTCACTGTCCACTTCCCTTTCAAACTAGACCTTCCCACAGACTGCATGCCCACAGCTGCCTGGCCAAGCACCTTACTCCTGCCTGTTACAGAGCTGGGCCCACACGATAGACAACACAACAGCAAAAACCCAGAAGAGCTCTGCTGAGAAGACTGGCTTTCTCATTGACCACTGGGAAGTCAAAGATTTTCAGTCCCCGAAGTCAGGTGAACCAGCCTAGCACACTCAGCTATACTCTCTATATAGCCCCTGGCACATCCTGAGGGCATTTTGTCCCAGCCTAACAGCACTGCATAAGACAGGCTTGCTACGTACCACTGAGAGCAGGACCCCACAGAAAAGCAACAGCAGCTATTTAATACTTAACCTGCTGCTGCCAGAGGATGCCGCCTTTACAGTGCAGATGTTACAGCTTCCCTAGGAATGGGAGACCAGAGGTTCCTCCCCAGCCTGAGGGAAGAAAACCCCCAGCTCTCTCATCCTGGGAGAGGCCTCAGCCATCCCTTGCTCTTCTTGCATGGTCTTCTTAACCCCAGGTTCTGAGCTGCCAAGACCTTTCTGTCCCCTCCTCAGTCAGGACTGATAGCCACTGGGCTGCTGGACACCACGTGGCACCCCAGCACCCCGCGGACTCAGCTGCAAGAGCCCCTCAGAGTAACGCCTGCTGGCCCCATGCTGGGGAGTACAGTTGTGCTCTGGGTCCCGCTGGAGGGAGGTGGCCCTGCCAGGACCCCGTCGTGCCTGCTCCCCAGAGAGACAGGACTTCAGATGCACCCCTGCGCTCACCATTTCCCACTGGCTGGCTCTGGGCTCCTCCTGGGCAGGGTAGAGGGTGTTTCCATCAGCCTCCCCATGCCCTGAGCATGGAGTTCAGCAGTGAGCTCTGGATTTGGGCTCCAACCAAGTGGGTACTGCAGTGCTGCAGCCCTCCTGGGAATGGGCTTTACAAGCACCGAACATTGCCTGATGCTGGATATTACATCAGATCCATGCACTGTTTTTCTAACTTTGCCCATGTGTTATCCACTGAGCTCTTTTAATAACCAAAATGCCAATGACCAGGGGAAGAATGTGTTTAAATCTCACAGGATTTAAAGCAGCTCACATGACAGTGCCCTCTTCCTAAAACTAGATCAGTCTCTTTCCAGGACAACCAGCAAATCCCCCTTCTGCCCACTCTCTCAGCATTGTACAGGCATGCCTGCCACCTACCTGCTCTGGTAAAGGTACCACTGTGTTTTTTTGAACTGTGCAAATGTTTAAGTGCGCAAGATATTTGTGATGAAATGGAAGTGCTGGGCTGATGATGTATCAGGTGCAGAGAATCTGGGACTGCATCCTGAGGTGATGTGTTTGTCCATATGTCTAATTATTTGTATAGATATGGCTGACTAGAGGATTTTTTTATCAGTTGTAGATAGGAAAAAAGCCTGTGGGGGCCATGCCTATGTCAGAGTTATCTTTCCTAGGGTTATAGGCATGGGAACACCTGGATAAGCTAAGAAGGTGCCAGCAGAAGGGAGCATCTCTTGCTCACTGGCGCTGACCTGCTGCTCAGAAGTCTCAGCAGGCATTACCCCTCCCGTAGAACAAGATGGTTGCACAGGGTCACAACAACATTTCTTGGAGAATCTCCCACTTATTTACAATCTGAATTGTGTACAGAGAGGCACACATGCACGTGCCTCTCTGTGTGTGCGCGCACACGTGTTGCACTCTTCCTGATATCCCTGAAGCTGCCTCACATCTCTGTCAGAGGCACCAGCTTAAAAGCCCAGGTAGAACCCAGCCTCTCACTGCTGTGGTGTTTGGCTGACCAGCCTGCTGTGCCTGTAACCCTCGTGAACTGTTATATATCTGCACTTCTGCTTTCAGGATTTTACCATCACAACTGCCAAAAGCTTTTAATAACGCTAATTTGTCTTTTAACATCCTGTTTTATCTATTGTACAGCTGGGATATCTGTGGCACAGACATACCAAGCAATCCACCCTGGGTCATACAGTGAGTTGGTGGGAAAGCCAGCAATAGAGTCCATAAGTCCTGCATCCAAGTTCTCCAAGTTCCTTGACTAGTCCAGATTCCCTCCTTAACACCCTTGTCAGATTGTTTATAGGAGATGTATTCATATAGTCAGTAAGACATCAAAATTTTCTAATTATATCTAGTCATGTCAAATGACAATTATGCCCTTAGTTCAGTTTGCCAGACAATGCTTTACCAAAGAAGGTTTGCCAAAAATTTTTTGACCGAAGAAAGAGTAGGCATCTGTAGCATCTGCAGACCAGATCGTATAAAATGTCCCTGCGACAAGTCTGCCCTGTCTCCAGGGAAAGCTTCAAGGTAAGTGTATGGGGTCCGCAGGCTTGCAGGAAGGGGATGTGCCTCAACATTCCTGCTGCCTCCAGTGCTCACTTCCAGGAGGGGACTCAATTCCTCAGCTCAGGTTTTAAATCTGCTTTGAAGGCACCTGCACATTTTCACTCTGGATTTCTGTGCAGCAGCAAGTAGGGAGTTACCATTTTTGTTTTACAGTACTGACCAGCTGCCAGCCTGCAAGCCACCCATCTGGTGTCACAACAGGTAAGAACCTGATTTATTAATTCTTAGAGGGCAGAGAAGATCCTATTGGGTGGGATTTCTGTATGGCTGAGTGAACAGTCACTGTTTCACCCTATATTCAAACCTAGCGTGATTACAGTAGAAGGTGGTTTGGTGCCCAAGGTTTTCAAGTGGTTGCATTTGAAGTCTCTGACCACTGATGGCAGACCAGAAAAATCCCCATGGGGAAATTCTTCACTTCTGCTTAACTGACCTAACAAGGATCAAAGCGTGCTGACTTCCCATCTTTGCTGTCACAGCAGTAGGACTGGATCAAGATGAACACAGCAGGAAAAAGTGCAAAATTCTGCATTCTACCTGAGAATGTATGAATTAATAAATCATCTGAGCATACAGCCCTTCTAAACACCTTTGTAAAATGCCAGAGCTCTCTTAAATACTCATTTTCTTACTCCAGACAAGAAGATATTTATTACCTAATGAATAAAGAGGGAATAAATTTTACTAAAGTAGCTAGAGAATTTTCAAGTCCAGTTGGCTAAATTTAGCTACCTATTTGTTTAATAAAGCATTTGAAGAAATACTCTTAGTTTTTTAAAGTTTTGAGAACTCACCTGCTCCTAGATATTTTTCAGTAAGTATTTATTTGAGATCTTAATAATACAATCTTGGCAATTCCAATTTCAGCGCTTGAATTTTATTTCACCCAAGTCAGAACTTTGGGGCTGAAATTATTTAGATATTGTACTGAAGAATGACAAAGGCATACAACAGATTAAATTATGGTAGAATATGAAAAGGTCACAAAGTCTGCTCTTTTCTTTCAGTTGACAACTTCATTAGCAAAATTCATTAATTTCCCACTGCATTTCTGTTACCATTATATTTAATAGGTAAATGTCCCATAGGTTCAATGTTTTCCAAGACTGTAGGTCACCTAAACTAGTTTTTCAGAAATGTTACTTCACTGTTCATCCTTTTAACAAAATGTCCTAACTGTATTTCCATTCCTAATAGTGATGTCTTAGTGAAACTTGCTCACGAAATTCACTCTTATCTTAGAGACACAGTATTAAAGCACCAAACCCACAGTTCTGAAAGGTCATTAAAAGTTGCTCTCCTAAATGTTTGAAGACCTAGACTACATCAACGAAAACCTCTTATTTTCTAAGTTGACCTAAAGATTAAGTCTCTAGTTAGGTCATGTTAGATGTTCCAAATACTCAGAGTATGAAGAGAAACCAAGGCACAGGATATAAATTTTTCCCCAGACTTACAAAATAGCTGTAAATAATCAGTGCCATATTGTTCCTCCCCATTAGAGTCCTCTGCTGACGTGTCTTCAGTAACGTGCAGACATGGCCTCTGCAGACTCTGAGATGGCTGTTTTTGGGGAGGCGGCTCCCTATCTCCGAAAGTCAGAGAAGGAGAGAATTGCAGCCCAGAACAAGCCTTTCGATGCCAAGACATCCGTCTTTGTGGCCCATCCTAAAGAATCCTTTGTGAAAGGGACAATCCAGAGCAAAGAATCAGGGAAGGTCACTGTCAAGACTGAAGGTGGAGAGGTGAGCAAAATTCAAGCTTCGGATCAGCATTTGATTCCCACTCTGAGCTTTTAGCTGACATACATGGATCTCTCATTTTCTTGGCAGACCCTGACCGTGAAGGATGATCAGGTCTTCCCCATGAACCCTCCCAAGTATGATAAAGTCGAGGACATGGCCATGATGACCCACCTCCACGAACCCGCTGTGCTGTACAACCTCAAAGAGCGTTATGCAGCCTGGATGATCTACGTAAGTACCAGCAGCAGTCTTCCTTTGGGTAGCTAGGAGGAACTGCTCTGCCAGGCTAAGTGGAAGCCAACGTGCTGTCTCCCTTCCTCGCAGACCTACTCGGGTCTCTTCTGCGTCACTGTCAACCCCTACAAGTGGCTGCCGGTGTACAACCCGGAGGTGGTGTTGGCCTACCGAGGCAAGAAGCGCCAGGAGGCCCCTCCACACATCTTCTCCATCTCTGACAATGCCTATCAGTTCATGCTCACTGGTGAGTGGCTTGGTTTTCTTTAAAATTATTTGGGTATGAATACTCGCAGAAGAGAAAAAAAGTCTTTTCACTGCAAAATATTTCAGTTTAATGGTCTTGGTAGGGTAGATGTCCTCTCACCATTGAAAACATTTTCTTTACTGGACACCATCATTGAGATCATGTTTCTAACTATCAACATTAGAATTTACTGTCCAAGATATCACAGGTAGGCAGTTTGATTAGATTTCTTGATGAGAACTGTGTGAAGGGCAAGTGGAAGTGCACAGCTTGTGTGAGGACCACATGCCTCTGACAGCTCTATGCATCCATTTGGGCTTGTACCTTCTGCTGTTAGGACCTGGAAGGAAATTGGGTACTCTTGGACTTTCTGAAGAAGCCCCAACTTTACATTTACAGCTTTACTTCTCATTCAGCTCAGTGTTACCGAGGGCAACTGCTAACACTATCTTTCATTCTGCCTCTTTCACAGATCGTGAGAACCAGTCGATCCTGATCACGTACGTACACCCCCTGCCTGGGTCCCCGCGGGGCTGCTCGGTGCCAGGGGCCCTCCTGCCTGACCACACGCTCTCTGCCTCTCTCCTTGGTTTGACAGCGGAGAATCCGGTGCAGGGAAGACTGTGAACACAAAGCGTGTCATCCAGTACTTTGCAACAATTGCAGCGAGTGGGGAGAAGAAGAAGGAGGAGCAGTCTGGCAAAATGCAGGTAAACTTATAGATACTGGCTTGAATCAATGCTTTCCTCTGTTCCTGACATGATTTTTGGAAAGGATAACCAGCAATAATTATTGTCCTGCAGGGAACGCTTGAGGATCAAATCATCAGCGCCAACCCACTGCTGGAGGCCTTTGGAAACGCCAAGACAGTGAGGAACGACAACTCCTCGCGCTTTGTAAGTTGTTGCTTTGGACAAAATCTCTCCTCATTATAACAGTAGTGATGGGCTAGTGGTATTCTCACATAAGGACATGAGAATGAAATGCATCTAGGCTGAAATGCTGCTGCTTCTCCTTAACAGGGCAAATTCATCAGAATCCACTTTGGAGCTACAGGCAAACTGGCTTCTGCGGACATTGAGACTTGTAAGAGACTCCCCTTGTCTGATCCCATTCCTTCCCAAATTCCCACCTCCACGTGCGTTCCTGTGCCTAACTTTGTCCTACTGTCCTTTCCAGATCTGCTGGAGAAGTCCAGAGTCACTTTCCAGCTCAAGGCAGAAAGAAGCTACCACATATTTTATCAGATCACGTCCAACAAGAAGCCAGAGCTAATTGGTAGGAGGCATCACTCATCTTTCTGGAGGAAGATCACTGGGTAACATTTAATGGCATTACGAAAACAATGAAATTTAACCCATGAACCCATTTGTTTTCAGAAATGCTCCTCATCACCACCAACCCGTATGACTACCCTTTTGTGAGTCAAGGTGAGATCACTGTTCCCAGCATTGATGACAAAGAGGAGCTGATGGCTACAGATGTAAGTAACTTACAAAACAGGTCAACACACATAGGTCATGCATCACATAACATGCAAATATTTCACTTTGCTGATTGCATTACCAGAGTGCCATTGACATCCTGGGCTTCACTGCTGATGAAAAGACTGCCATCTACAAGCTGACAGGGGCTGTCATGCACTACGGGAACTTGAAGTTCAAGCAGAAACCAAGAGAGGAGCAGGCAGAGCCCGATGGCACAGAAGGTATTCTAAAACTCATTAATTAATTAATTAATTAACTCTTCTGTAAGCCACTATGGATGTGGAAGACAACAAATGTTGTTCTTTGTTGGACTTTAGGATCCCAAGGAAAACAGTAAGCCAGAAAAAAACCATCCCTTGTTCTCTTCTCAGTACATCAAGTTCCCTGATCTCAGGATTTTTGTATCTTATGCTATGCACGAGTAATAGTTTAAACTGTCCTTTATACACTTCCAGGAAGTCAGGAGCAATGGATGTCCTTCCTGTAACATTATTAGTCATACCTTTGTTGGAATATGACTTGCAATTGTGAAACAGCCAAGTGGTTCAGCTCTATCAGGATGGGGGACCATGTTCCCATTCACTTGTCAGATGCTCAGGGAACTCTGGTGTGAGAGGTTAATTGATTCCTCTCATTTGTTGGTGCAGGACCTACAATCCACGTCTCCAGCTCTCTGAGCAAGGGCTTCTCTTGCTAAAGGACTAGGCAAGAAGGTGGGAAGTACCATAAGTAAAAGGATGAAACCCAGTGAGTTTTACTAAACATCAGAAACCAAAGCTCAGAAAGGGTTGTAGACTCTGGATCTGAAAGAGAACAGAGATGTCCTGGGATAACCCTGCAGCCTTTAGAGAATACTCCAGGATTCAAAGTCTAAGTGACACTAAATTCTTCCTTTTTTCCTCTGTCTTTTTAGTTGCTGACAAGGCTGCCTACCTGATGGGTCTGAACTCAGCTGACATGCTAAAGGCACTGTGCTACCCCCGAGTCAAGGTTGGGAATGAATATGTGACCAAAGGTCAAACTGCACAGCAGGTGAGAAACATGTGGTAACCTGGAACCATGTTTTGAATTATCCTTTTGATTCTCCTCTGCTCTGTATGGCATTTATTTTTCTTATAGGTGCACAATGCTGTAGGTGCTCTAGCAAAGGCTGTCTACGAGAGGATGTTCTTGTGGATGGTTGTTCGCATCAACCAACAGCTGGATACCAAGCAACCCAGACAGTACTTCATTGGTGTCCTGGATATTGCTGGCTTCGAGATCTTTGATGTAAGTAACAAAGATTTGGTAAGAGCTATTTGGAAGTGACAACTGTATGTTATGATCACTCTGAGAATTATTTTTAAAGAAGATGTAATAGCATCACATAATTATTTGCAGGTATTCGCCTTTTTTTGTCATGAAGTAAAAAATGATCTTTCAAAGAACTTGTCTTATTTCAAGCTGAGCAAACTCAAAAGTACAGAATCAGAAAAATTCCTTGGTTTAAATGATCAAGGACAAGTCAGTATAAATACATGTATATCATGATAGGCCTAAGCCTGGGTTTTTTCTCCCTGTAATTTGGTCTCACATTATACAGGAAATATATTTTATCTTCACATTTTTATCAATGAAAAAAAATTTCTTGTGGACAATTAATTTGATGCTTTTCTCTGTTTCATTATGTAGACATAAAATGGACTGAAGAAATGCACAGACTTGACAATGAAGCCAAGATAACTGCATTCCTTATTTTTAAAGGATGAGGCTTTGCAATTAGTGCTGCAACTTGCAAATATGGGTCTTTCTTATTTTATTTCCAGTTTAACAGCTTTGAGCAGCTGTGCATCAACTTCACCAATGAGAAACTGCAACAGTTCTTCAACCACCACATGTTCGTGCTGGAGCAGGAGGAGTACAAGAAGGAAGGAATTGAATGGACATTCATTGACTTTGGGATGGACCTGGCTGCCTGCATTGAGCTGATTGAGAAGGTATCCTTCCTGTTCAAAAGATTTGCATGCGTAGAAATCCTATAATTACTTGGTCATATTTTTCAAAGGGATCTTCTGTGTTCATGTCCAAATATTCAGCTTTTGTTATTCAAAATACCTTGCCTTGTAGTTTAATTTCCCTGTTATGTGAGACATGAAGGAGATTTCACACAGCTTTGTGGCAGCAAGTCTGTACTTATCCCTTTTCAAGTGTCAAAAGATTGTTAAACTCCCAATAAGAGTGTTCTTCCAAAACAGCTAGAGTCAATTTCCAGGTCAGCACGTCCTCCTCACCTTTCAGCTCTAACAAACTTGTGCCTGTACAGCAGAATAGCTATATCTTTGTAAAATAAACATAGAAGATGGACATACATAACTGTCAGCACACAGTTGCACTTACATGTGCGTCCTTTGACTAACAATGAGAAGGCAGTTGCACTGCACATGACATGAAAAGTTCAGTGGCTGGCAGGATGATAAGTAGTTAGAATCACAGAATTACAGAACTGCTGAGGTATGAAGGCAGCTCTGGAGATCACTTAGTACAACCCCCTTGGTCAAGACAGGGTCAGCTAGAGCCGGTTGCTCACAACCATGTCCAGTTGGATTTTTAATATCTCCAAGGGTGGAGACTCCACAGATACTCTGAGGAACCTGTTCCAACCTTTGACCACCCTCACAGTAAAGAAGTTTTTTCCTTCTGTTTAAATGGAATTTTGTGTGTTTCAATTCATGCCTGTTCCATCTTGTCCTGTCACTGGACACCACTGAGAAGTCTCTAGCTCTGTCTGCTTTATCCCCTCCCATTAGGTATTTATACACGTTGATAAGATTCCCCCAGAGCCTTCTCTTTTCCAGGCTGAAAAGTCCCAGCTCTCTCAGCTTCTCCTTGTATGTCAAATGTTTCAGCCATTTAAATATCTTCGTAGCCTGTCACTGGGCTCACTCTACTATGTCCATGTTTCTCTTGTACTGGGGAGCCAAGAACTGGACACAGCGCTCCAGATGTTTCTCAGCAGAGCTGAGTAGAGGGGAAGGATCACCTCCCTTGAATTGCTGGCAACACTCTTAATGTAGCCCAGGATGAGTTGGCTGCCTTTGCCCCAAGGATGTATTGTTGGCTCATGTTCAATTTGTCTAAGACATCTGTGTGCGTTTTGAGTCTCTCTGGATAAGAAGGTAGTGCTCTGATTTTATAAAGCACGTTCTCAACACAAACTACATGAATTTCCATTAATTTTTATGATTCATTTGGTGTTAAAAAATGTATCACTATGTTTAATCTCACTTTCTAGCAGAAAATGTAATTGAATAATAATCTTTTCTGATGTGTATCTCAGTCTGTGTTCCACTACTCTACCTAGGTGAAGGTCATTATTGCCCTGAAAACTAAATTACAATCTGTCTCCCTTGTGCATTTCTCCCAGCCCATGGGTATCTTCTCCATCCTGGAAGAGGAGTGCATGTTCCCCAAGGCAACTGACACCTCTTTCAAGAACAAGCTCTATGACCAACATCTAGGCAAGTCCGGCAACTTCCAGAAGCCCAAACCTGTCAAAGGCAAGGCTGAGGCCCACTTCTCCCTGATACACTACGCTGGTACAGTGGACTACAACATCACTGGCTGGCTGGAGAAAAACAAGGACCCCCTGAATGAAACCGTCATTGGGTTGTACCAGAAATCATCTGTGAAAACATTGGCCTTACTCTTTGCCAACTACGGTGGAGCAGAAGCAGGTTGGTTTTATGAATCCCATATTTTCACTGATGTACAGCTTACAAAAAGGAATCATAAAAGGCAACAGCAAAAATCTAAAACCTGTTTTATTTATTTTCAATTTTGCAGAAGCTAGTGCTGGCAAGAAAGGTGGCAAGAAGAAGGGTTCTTCCTTCCAGACTGTCTCAGCTCTTTTCCGGGTACAGTCGAGAGTTCACTATTTCTTCCTAAGATGAGGAGTAAACCCACCATTTAAAATGGCTAGTCTTTTTTTGGCTTAGTTGTGTTAAAGGACCCTGAAGTTCTTGGGCCGTATTTTGCTAGGAATAAATCCACTGTAATCTATTTATGCTCCATTCCACTGAATGCACAACTTTTCTTTTTGTCCACTTGTCCCAGGATGACATTTCCAGACAGAAGAATGTCATACAGAAAACTTCTAAAATATACCTAAAATATACCAGATTTCCTTCAGATGCCCACCTCTGGCTTTGGAACCTTTTATTGCCCGTTAGCAACATCCTGCCCACTGGGCTGGAGGATGAACTGTTTGCTCCATTTATATCTTTAGTTTTTCTCCATGATTCAGGGATCAATCTCTTATAGTTGAAATACCACCACTGCTTGTGTTATGGATTTTTAAGATGTCAGATACTTGACAGTTTGTCATAACCAAGTCTTGCTGCCTGGCTGCTCCATACACTTTTGCCAGGTGAAATACCTAGTTTCTCCTGAGGTTATTTATTACCACAGTCATCCTTCATTTAGAACTACCTTCTTGATATAGCTTAATTTCTTCTACAGATCTGCTGTCATATGATTCTTGATCATCTGACAGCCTCTAGCCAATGCTCTGAAACAGGACATGGGCATATTTGTATATGCCTCAAGAAAAATAAGCATAGCTTTAGTGCCTTGGCCTTGCAAGTGGGAAATTATTGCCAGCATGTATCATGCAAAAATAATGCAATAAGCCTATGTTTAGCGGTCATAAGACTTTAAGAGGTAATGTTAGAGGAGAAATATTATTTGCTGCATTTGGGTTGCATTTCTGTTGTTTTCAAACTTTCTTCCACTATCCCTCTTGTTTAGACATGCTAGTGTTTAGACATCTTAATGTTTTGGCTGCTTAATTTATGTACTCTGAGATGTCCTCTGGAGGCACCTGCTTCCCTCCACTAATTATAGGCAATATTTATTAATAAATAAGTATACAGAGATGAGTTAGAAAATAAGGCTGGGATTCATCTCACCTTATTCTCACCTTACCTTACAAGATAAACATGTAATCTAGACATATAAAACTTAGCTTGTCATTTTTGTCCCTTTTGCTTTCAGTGGGGTAAATGGAAAGGTTTTATGTAGTGTGCTCCATATGTCCCATCTTAAATGCCTACTGTAGTAAGCTTCAATCTGCCTCATAAAGGCACCAGTTTATCTCTCTGGGTACATCCAATGGAAGATGGATATAAATTCTAATGAAGGCATTCCACTACAGTCAGTGAAATTTCTTAAAATTGTATGTTGAAGAGTATGATATTTCCTACAGATTAATCAGAAGAACTTTATACATTAAGTTATTAACAGCAAAGATCTGTGGAAAGTCAGAAAAAATGGTGCAGGGGGCTTCAGTTCAGGATTCTGCAAGCTAATTTTTATCTCATTTCAGAGGGCTTGATGCTTATAGTGGAAATTACATTTGCTAATAGAAACTTTTGTTAATGACACTCCCAGGAGAATTTGAACAAGCTGATGACCAATCTGCGAAGCACCCACCCCCATTTTGTACGCTGCATCATCCCAAATGAAACAAAAACACCTGGTAAGAGATTCACATATAGGAGGTTTTCAGTATTGTGCAGATCTTCCCCTCTGTATTACAGAATATAGGATATATTTGTGCTCTGAATTGCTAGGTGCCATGGAGCATGAACTGGTGCTTCACCAGCTGCGGTGTAACGGCGTGCTGGAAGGGATCAGAATTTGCAGGAAAGGATTTCCCAACAGAGTCCTGTATGCAGATTTTAAACAGAGGTCAGACTTCTTTACCTTACTGGATCATTTTGTCCATCTTGAGTAGCTTGTGAAATTTAAGTTTCACCTCTGGTGACTAAAGCCTTCTCTAAAGTTTATGTTTATCAGTGCTGTTATGTTCTCAACAATTCTTAGACTCCTTCTTGCAGTGTATGAGCCAATTGACCTCAAGAGCAGACCTCTTTATATTCATAGAATCATAGAATCATTTAGGTTGGAAAAGACCCTTAAGATCATCAAGTCCAATGCAAGCCCTTCCATTTTCTCCCCCAGATACAAAGTATTAAATGCAAGTGCTATCCCAGAGGGACAGTTCATTGACAGCAAGAAGGCTTGTGAGAAACTTCTTGGATCAATTGATATAGACCACACTCAATACAAATTCGGTCACACCAAGGTACAAGAACTGTTTGTTTCAAGTACTATGTGTTTTTGGTTTGCATGGCTTGAGAATGATACTCAGATTCTCCACATAGTATATGAAATGATCAAATAGTGTATTTAAAAGAAATCAACTAAGTACTTATTGACTCAATGCTTGAATAAAACTGAAATTCATTGCCATAGGATGATTTAATTAAGGGTTAATTAAGGGTTCCTAATTTAAGACAAAGTCATATAATAAAAGAATCAAGGGTTATTAAAAACAAAGGCAAAATGTTTGGCTATTATAGTTCCTCAACTTCAGGTAACTGGAAGCTTGGCGATATAAAAAGAGAGTCTGTCACTACATACATTCTTTGTGCTTTTGCTCGTTCTTTTAACTTCCCATATTATCTGCCATGGGGGACGAGGTACTGGGCTACACTGAACAACAAGCATATACACGGTGCCTATTTTCATGTTCTTACCTAAGGTGTTCTTCAAAGCTGGGCTGATAGGCCTCTTGGAAGAGATGAGGGATGAGAAGCTGGCACAGCTCATCACCCGCACACAGGCCAGGTGCAGGGGCTTCCTGATGAGAATGGAGTACCAGAGAATGGTGGAGAGGAGGTAGACATTTCTTCGAATTATGTTCACTGCATTTGACTTATTGTGTCATCATGGTATAAATATTTAATATTAATTTGACTTACCTTTCAGAGAGTCCATTTTCTGCATCCAGTACAACATTCGTGCATTCATGAACGTCAAGCACTGGCCCTGGATGAAGCTGTTCTTCAAGATCAAGCCCTTGCTGAAGAGTGCAGAATCTGAGAAGGAGATGGCCAACATGAAACAAGAGTTTGAGAAAACCAAGGAAGAGCTTGCAAAGTCTGAGGCAAAGAGGAAGGAGCTGGAGGAGAAAATGGTGAAACTGGTGCAGGAGAAAAACGATCTGCAGCTCCAAGTGCAGGCTGTGAGTAGTACCAATGTGCCTCATCCTAACTGAACCGTGACCATCAGGCTGATATTTACAACTACATTTTCAAAAGACACACAGAAACTACAGTTTAAATCAATTCAATTCAATTGTATTTCATTAAGTGGTGCTCTTAAAAATATAACTAGCTTCAATAAGGACTGTCAGGATGCTGTAGTCAAGATTACATGGATAAGACTTTTCTATGGTGTATGCTGAGGTCCCTATCATTTACATTCAGTTAAACCGCATCAGAGCAATCAAGAAACTTTATTAGTATAATCTTTGTTCTTCTAGTAATTTTTTCCTACCTCTCCAAAACTGAGTATGCCCATCCATACACACATGATTAGGAATTCTTAGGACAAGTTAAGAGGACATTTCTTTCCTCTCTTTATCCTCCAATTAAACAAGATAACGTGTCTCTTTCCAGTGTAGGTGGCGGCTTAGCTGTTACAAACATTACTATGTTGCAATACTGAACTAACTGAGAGGAAACAGAATTTAATATTTCACTTACCCTCCTAAATCACTCAGAATCATTACATAAAATGGTGGTACATCTGCAGTGTTGTAATGCTGTGGTTCCTAAATTAAATCATTCACAGAATAGAAAAGACTGTATACTCAAAGTAATATTGCGCAGCATTTATGATACAGTAGAAAATTTACATGCCTAATTTTTAAACAATCTTGAACTGTAAAAAGATGAAAAAATCCACTCACTCCTAAAATTATCATTTTTCTTTCCTATTATTTCTGCTAGACTGAAACTTGACACAAAATACAACAAATATCACAGGACATCTGTTGCAAAAAAAAGCCTAGAGACAAATTTTCCAGCAACTCTTTTTCTTCTTAGCTCATGAGGGTCTCGCAGAGAAAAGCCAAAGCTGCTGAGTATTTTTGGGCTGTGGTGATGAAAATCTAAATCAGAAACAGTTGATCCAAAGAGACAGTAGGGTGAAAAAAGAGAAATAAAGGAATGACGTGAGCATAACTGTGACGTTGTCATTTATATGTATCTTGGCATATGGTTATCACTCAGCACTTCATAAATGTGGGAGATATTCCTATGATTAAACCCAAACTTAGGTACTTTGTTGTAATGTTTAATATTATGGGATAATATTGGATTCTATACCTTGCACAAATATGTAAATACTCGGGCCTTCATGTAGATGGAAAAAAATTTTATTTAGTTTCAGCTTTCAAAACCGGATGTTTTAAAAACAACAATATAAAATCAATTCTATATTATATCTCATTCTTTGTTGGAACATAAACCAAACTTTTAACTACAAAATTGCTACCCAGGACTGTAAATGGTGAAGGTAAGTGTCTCGATACTCCCTCAAAAAATATATCCCTAAAAATGGTATTTTCCCACCAGGAAGCTGATGCTTTGGCTGATGCTGAGGAAAGATGTGACCAGCTCATCAAAACCAAAATCCAGCTGGAAGCCAAAGTTAAAGAAGTGACTGAAAGGGCCGAGGATGAGGAAGAAATTAATGCTGAGCTGACAGCCAAGAAGAGGAAACTGGAGGATGAATGTTCAGAGCTGAAGAAAGATATTGACGATCTTGAGTTAACACTGGCCAAGGTTGAGAAGGAAAAACATGCCACCGAAAACAAGGTATGAGGCAGAAGATGTCACTCTCACAGAAAAGACCTCTGTTTTGCTATACAGTATAAAGTTTAAAGAAAAATTTTTATCTGCACCTGCTCCCTTCTTCTCAAAGGTGAAAAACCTCACAGAGGAGATGGCAGCCCTGGATGAGACCATCGCCAAGCTGACAAAAGAGAAGAAAGCCCTCCAAGAGGCCCATCAGCAGACACTGGATGACCTGCAGGCAGAAGAGGACAAAGTCAATACTCTGACCAAAGCTAAGACCAAGCTGGAGCAGCAAGTGGACGATGTAAGCACATGTGTAGCTAAATGAAAAAGAAAACTTTGTAGAGGAAAGCGTAGCCAGCAGAGCACTGATGGTCTTGTTCTTTTTAGCTGGAAGGGTCCCTGGAGCAAGAGAAGAAACTGCGCATGGACCTTGAGAGAGCTAAGAGGAAACTCGAAGGAGACCTGAAGCTGGCCCATGACAGCATAATGGATTTGGAAAATGATAAGCAGCAGCTGGATGAGAAACTGAAGAAGTAAGCGTGGCTGTGGGGCACCTGAGTGCTGGGCTGGGGCACTTGTCTTTTTTCCTTGAGCTCTAACACGGTTTGCTTTGCCCAAAGCAAAGGCTTTGAAATCAGCCAGATCCAGAGCAAAATCGAGGATGAGCAACTTATGGGCATGCAGTTACAGAAGAAGATCAAGGAGCTGCAGGCAAGTCTCTGTCCCTTCTCTTCTGCCCTTCAGAAATACAGCAGGTAGGAGGAGGGCCCGGGTGTGAAGGGTCCGTAATGTTCCCCAGGCCCGTATTGAGGAACTGGAGGAGGAAATTGAGGCAGAGAGAACCTCTCGGGCAAAAGCAGAGAAGCATCGGGCTGACCTCTCCAGGGAGCTAGAGGAGATCAGCGAGCGCCTGGAGGAAGCAGGAGGGGCTACCGCAGCTCAGATTGAGATGAACAAGAAGCGTGAGGCAGAATTTCAGAAGATGCGTCGCGACCTCGAAGAGGCCACGCTGCAGCACGAAGCCACGGCTGCCGCCCTGCGGAAGAAGCACGCGGACAGCACAGCTGAGCTTGGGGAGCAGATCGACAACCTGCAACGAGTGAAGCAGAAGCTGGAGAAGGAGAAGAGTGAGCTGAAGATGGAGATTGACGACTTGGCCAGTAACATGGAGTCTGTCTCCAAAGCCAAGGTATAGAAAAATACACAGAAAACCACTTGAAAATAAATAAAGTTGAAACATACCCTTTTAAAACATGGTCAGGTTACAACATAACTCTCTGTCTCTGTATGGAACTGTATTTCTAACCTAACACCAGTGAGCAGTATATAGCTTGCACGTTTGTTCACGCTTTTCTGGTGAGAATCCTGCTGTTCAGAAATCTAGGCAAATCTGGAGAAGATGTGCCGCACTCTGGAAGACCAACTAAGTGAATTTAAAACTAAGGAGGAGCAGAATCAACGCATGATCAGTGATCTCAGTGCTCAAAGAGCTCGTCTGCAGACAGAATCTGGTATGACACTTCCATCTCTAGTTTGGACATGGGAGAACCCCCTAAATGACTCACTTGGCTGTTAAAATATTTTCTTGATTATAAACTTTTCCAGGTGAATATTCACGCCAGGTGGACGAAAAAGATGCTTTAATTTCTCAGCTGTCTAGAGGGAAGCAGGCTTTCACCCAGCAGATTGAAGAATTGAAACGGCAACTAGAGGAAGAGATAAAGGTGAAGATATTTCATGTTACATATGAAATAAATATTTTACATCACATTGTTTTTGGTGCAGTGTTCAAGAGTTCAAAAGATGATCTAATTAAAAGTTCAAAACATCCCATTAGGTCATGCAATGTAGGCCCTGTCAGTGCAGGACTCCGAGCTTTTTGCAGTATATCAGACCTTGGCTTTTATTTTTTTCATGCAGTCAGTTACTCACTATTTCTCTGGGATATACTCCAGTGTCTAAGTGCTGGTAAGTGAAAATTTCCCAGGATACATCTACTCCTTATTGCAATCTTTTTACCACCAGGCCAAGAATGCCCTGGCCCATGGCTTGCAGTCTGCTCGCCACGACTGTGACTTGCTCCGGGAACAATATGAGGAGGAGCAGGAAGCCAAGGGGGAGCTGCAGCGCGCCCTGTCCAAGGCCAACAGCGAAGTGGCCCAGTGGAGAACCAAATACGAGACTGATGCTATTCAGCGCACAGAGGAGCTGGAGGAGGCCAAGTACGTGAGGAATGTGGGGAAGGCTGGTAGAAACCAATAACGGAAATTTGAAGAGACCACTGAGAGACCAAGAGATACTGAAAGGCGAAAGCCTAGTAGTAGGCTGGGGAGGAGTTATATGAAACAGAAATATGTACTATAAAGGGTGTGGTTTTGAAAAACACAAGGAAAATAGGCTAGATGAGAAAGAATGTAGCAGAAAGGCAATGTGTGGTGTGTGCAGAGGGCAGAGGGACAACTAGACCCCTGGGGAAACAAAAAGGGAAGAGAAATGACTGGCTGGGATAGGCCCTGCACTGTGTGCATGGGGACCAAATACTGCAAAGTGCCTCAGCACTGTGGTGAAAATGAAAAAAACAACATCTATTTTAGTACCCAGTTATGAGCTGTGCTTACCTCTCCCAGGAAGAAGCTGGCACAGCGCCTGCAGGAAGCAGAGGAACATGTTGAAGCTGTGAATGCCAAATGTGCCTCCCTGGAAAAGACAAAGCAGAGGCTGCAGAATGAAGTGGAGGACCTGATGATTGACGTGGAGCGATCAAATGCTGCCTGCGCAGCTCTGGATAAGAAGCAGAAGAACTTTGACAAGGTCTTTTGGGCTCCAGGCCTGGGGTTCCCGAGCAGAGCATTCCCTCCTGATTGCCACGTCCATATTCACACCCGCTTTCTCTTCAGATCCTGGCCGAATGGAAGCAGAAGTATGAGGAAACGCAGGCTGAGCTGGAAGCCTCCCAGAAGGAGTCTCGCTCCCTCAGCACGGAGCTGTTTAAGATGAAGAATGCCTATGAGGAGTCCTTGGACCACCTGGAAATGCTGAAGCGTGAGAACAAGAACCTGCAGCGTAAGTCCCTGGCCCTCTGCTCCTGGCAGGGCTTTCTCACTATCCACCACTACCCACCGCTCCACATGAGTCTGTGCCTGCAGGTCTGCAAAGGTGCCTGCCACCTTGGTGTGGCAGGGCCCTTCCCATTCGGCTCTGTGCCTGACCATGCCATTGACCTTTGTTCCCACAGAGGAGATTTCCGACCTCACGGAGCAGATTGCCGAGGGAGGAAAGGCGATTCACGAGCTGGAGAAAGTCAAGAAGCAGATTGAGCAGGAGAAATCTGAAATCCAGGCTGCTCTGGAGGAAGCTGAGGTACA